GGCTTAGGCTGATCTTAACGATGGAGGAAGGTGGTGCAGAGGAGGTTCCCTACTCTGACATCGAGTGGGGATTAGAGGGGGACAACAGCGCAGGCCTGGGGAGAACCTACACTGCTGTCGCGGCTGGAGGGAGGCCGCAAGGAGGACAACGGTCCGGCCCAAGTGGTCGGGCCCAGGGTGGCCGAGGGCAGGGCGGCCAGGGGGTTGGCGGCTATGGCAACCGCCAAGCGGGAGGAAGGGGAGGTCCCCCGTCTAACCGTCCGAGTTCTAGTCGGTCACCTCCCAGACAAGGGAGGTGGCATCCAGGCCGGCCTGAAGGCCGACCTTGGTTAGACCTGGGTATAGATCAAAGGGTATGGCAAGAACGCATTAATAGTTCTCAATGCGTATTCTGCGGGGACCCGTGCCACATTATCAAATTTTGTCCTAAGTATAGGGACCGTGCTGCATCTGGGGCAGCAAAAGACAGTCGCCGGTAGGGGTTGCAACTGCCCCTACCTCAGGAGTATGTGGATCTGAGCGTGCCAGCGAAGTAGAGTCTCCCACTCCACATATTTCCATGGCAGAGGTTGCAGGCCAGCGTCTAGTAAGTTGTCCAGAGCTTGCTTGTGTTAGGGTCTCTTTAGGCGCTTCCCTCACAGGCTTAGCCGATGAACTGAGAGAGAGGAGGCAAGCTTGGGCCAAGATGAAGAAGGATAGTAAAGGACAGCTAATCCTCGCAGATGTAGAGATATTTAGAGCTAGAGTAGGAGCCCTCATAGACAGCGGGGCGACTAGGAGCTATATTAGTCGTAAAGCGCTGAGGAAGTTGAAGTTGAACCTAAAGGTCCAACGACTAGAAGAGCCTGTGGTCAGCATCCTCGCAGACAATAGTAGGATGCGCGTCGAAGAGTATGTTGAGGGGGTTCACGCCTACTTTCGCCTAGAGAAAGATGGCAAGGTAGAGAAGGTACTGCACTCCCTGACCCTCCTTGTAGAAGAGAGTCTCCCGTTTGACATAGTTTTAGGCACAGATTGGGGAGAGGCAGCAGGAGCCACACTTCACCTCAGAGAGCATGAGTGTACGCTCCCTAGTGCGTCAGGCGAAGTCAAGAAAGTCCGCCTGTTCCATGAGTCCGGGGTAGATAATCCCCTTGCCCATTGTTGCCTCAGCGCTCCTTCATTCGCCTGGCTTGTGCGAAAGGAGCAGCTTGAAGAGCAGGTGTTCGTGGCCTATGTTAGGCCAGTGTCCGATCAGCCTAAGGAGGAAGAAAAGATCCATCCTTGGCTAGATAGGTTCGTCGTAGTTTACCTAGACAATATCCTAGTGTTCAGCAAGACCCTCGAGGAACATGAGGGCCATCTACGGCAGATTCTAAGTAAGCTCAGAGAGTCTAACTTTAAGATTAACCCGAAGAAGTGCGAATGGGCCAAGACACAGGTCCTTTACCTAGGCCATGTACTAGACGACGATGGCATTCCGCCTGAGGACAGCAAGATACCATCCATCAGAGATTGGCCAACTCCTAAGAAACTAACAGAGTTGCGTTCTTTCTTAGGACTGGCTAACTACTACAGGAAGTTCATGAGGAACTTCTCTACGATCGCTGCTCCCCGTCGTAGACTATTGAAGAAAGAAGCTATCTGGAAGTGGGATCAGGATTGTACGTCAGCCTTCAAGAAATTGAAGAAGGCTTCGATAGAGTACCCTGTTCTCAAAGTTATCGATCCATCATTGCCATTTGTTATTACTACAGACGCGAGTCAGTATGGCATAGGTGTCGTTCTACAGCAAGATGACGGCAACGGGTATAGGCCCGTAGAGTTCATGTCACCCAGGCTGCCTTCAGAGAAAGTCGCCGCATCGACATACGAGAGGGAACTCTACGCTCTCAGGCAGGCTCTAAAGCACTGGAAACACTACCTGCTTGGGAGGCACTTCAAGGTTTATTCAGACCACGAGACTCTTAGATGGCTAAAGACACAGGCCAAGATGACGCCCAAGTTGACCAGATGGGCTGCTGAGATAGACCAGTATGACTTTGAGTTAAAACCCGTTAAAGGCAAGTACAACGTGGTAGCTGATGCGCTAAGCAGGAGATCTGATTATTTCGGTGCGATAGTACACTATCTAGACATAGGGGCCGATCTACAGCAGAAAGTAAGAGATGCCTATGCACAGGACCCAATCTACAGTGAGCTGCTCAAAAGAGAAAAGGAAGCCCCAGATAGTGAGCCACACTACCGGACCACGAATGGGCTAGTGTTTGAAAAGACTAATGTCGCTGACAGGCTATGCGTCCCCAATAGTGAAGAGATCCGTAGTCTGATCTTAGGGGAATGCCACGATACAGAAGGGCACTTTGGATGGCAGAAGACTTTAGCTAACCTGATGATGTCCTATACGTGGCCAGGCATGAAAGCAGACTGCATAGAATATGTGCGCAGTTGCGAAGTGTGTCAGCGTAATAAAGCTACAACTAGAGCCCCCCTGGGTCTTCTTAGACCCTTGCCTATTCCCTCCGGACCCGGAGATTCAGTGTCCATTGACTTCATGGATACTGGAGTCAGAAGCAGACATGGAAAAACTCAAGTCATGGTCATGGTAGACAGATTTAGTAAGTATGCAGTATTTGTTCCCTTGCCTTCAGAGGCCCGTACAGAGCTAGTTATAAGGAAGTTCTTCGATTTCTGGGTAAGCGAGAATGGTATGCCATTGTCCATAGTAAGTGATAGGGACACCCGGTTTACCAGCCAGCACTGGCAAGATCTTGTGAAAGTATATGGGTCTAAGTTGTTGATGTCGTCAGGACGACACCCCGAGACTAACGGTCAGACAAAACAGATGAATAAGATCTTGCAACAGCTACTCAGAATGTAAATTAGACCAGATCAGCTAGATTGGGACGAGTTGCTCCCCAAAGTAGCAAGCGCCTACAACAACAGCATTCACTTAGCTACTTGTCGGACTCCTAATGAGCTACACAAGTCTTTTAAACCTAGGCGAGCACTAGAAGGACTAAACCGGGATCAGATCCAGAGACTTCCACCCGGTACTCGAGAGTTCGCACTCCATCATGAGCAAGAGGTTGCTAAGGTCACAGACAACCTGAGGAAGGCCCAGCACCGCATGATAGAGCAGGCTAACAAGCACCGCCGACCTTCATAGTTTCAGGTAGGTGACCTAATCTGGGTCAAGTCAAAGGAGTTCGCACCGGAGGAAAACATCTCGCAGAAGCTCTCACCTGCATATAGAGGACCGTGGCCTGTCCTAGAAGTCAAAGGAGGAGAGGACGGCCCGTCGTATACGATAGAGATCCCAACACACCTCCACACGTACCCAGTCTTCCACGCCTCTAAGTTGTTACCTTGCACCACGTCTGACAGGTTCCCTTCCAGAAGGTCGATGATTCCTCCAGACATGGCTGGCGCGTATGATATAGAGGGCATTGTGGAAGAGGACGTGTTTAGGACAGAAGGCCGAGGTCGTCCCCAGAAACAGTACAAAGTTAGGTTCGCATACCAGGAACCCGAGGACGACCGGTGGTTTACAAGAACAGAGCTTTTAAAAACCGCTCCCGACATAGTACACGCCTACGAGAGGGAAAGAAAAGGTAAAGTTCCTGCCTTGAGTTAGAAGGTTCTCGGAGGACCTCGAATTTAGGACGGTGGGAGTGAAACGGTTTCACCCAGTTGACCTTTTACTGCAGTCACAGAGATTCGATCCCTAGACCTGTGCCCTAACCCTGTACATTGACCCTGTGTGCTGAGTGAGATTCGATCCCTAGACCTACCCTGTACCTGTACATAGACCCCGTGACCTGAGTAGGATTCGATCCCCAAAACTGTCCTACGACTTAGGTTAGTCTGTAGTTTGGTCAGTAGGACTTGATCCCTAGGTCTGTAGATTAGCAGCTAGGTCTGTTACCAATAGGCCTAGAAAGCCTGTTCTAGAAGTCTCTACTGAGTCTGTCGAAAGTCTGTAGAGTCTGTAGGTTCCAGCAGTCCGTAGGGTTCTGTATGGGGGGTCCAGCCAGCATGTACCTGGGTAAGGGCTGCACGTGGGGAAGGTTCTGGAGCATGCAGAGAGTTCCACACGTTTTGGCCCAGAAGGCCAAACGTCTGGAAGCTTCCCTGGGCCACACGTTTTGGCCCARGCCCACAGGTCTGGAGGCAGGGTCCGGGTACCTCCGAAGAAGTATAAATAAACAGGCAGCGTCCAGCCATTCATTCATTCGCCTGTGAGCCATGCGGAAGAGCTGCCTTGGTGTCTTGTGCATGGAGGTCTGCAGGTGCCTGGAGACGAAGTGGGCAGTGAAGAAGACAGCGGCCATAGCTGGCCAGTGGGGTAGATGTCGGCGGCCATAGCCACCCAGCTGTTGGTGAAGACAAGTGTTCAGAGTGTGTGAGGCTGTGCTGAGTGGGGACGTACGTGCACGCATGAGACAGTGAGGGAGAGAGTGAGGCTGGTGGTAGAGACCGTGTTCGGCGGCCATAGCCGCAAGTTGTGCAGCTGTTAAGATTGAGTTTAAGACAAGTTCATTGTTGTTTTTTTGAGTTGAAAGAGTTCAGTCTTGCCGGGGTTTATTGTTGTGAGCAAGTCCAGAGTTGAGTCTGATTGCAGTTTCCCTACTAGTCAGTAAAATGGCACTGCAGCAGTGCTGCAAAAAAGGGGAATCGCACACAGACGCACCCACACATACACCACATGACTCCCTTTGCCTTCGATAATCCATACCCTTCTTCAATATTGACAGGATCTCCGACCTACCTATCAGGCCACTCATGGTACATCCATCCTCGTCATCTCATCAATGAGCGCGCTGCTGTTGATAAGTTCTCTTTAAATGACGATGCACTCAGGCTCTACAATCAGAGACTGCCTCAAATTAGAGCAAATACGAAAGACTCTTGTATGGGAATCACCGATGCAAATAGAAATCCCATTGAACCACGGAGTCACAGACTACTCCCTTATGTCATAGCTAACCTACAACTACTCACAAAGGCCTGCACACGAGTCTGGCCTGCACACGAGTCTGGCTAACATATAATGAGTTGCCATATTCTCTACCTTTACCTAAAGTCAGTACATGCCCCCATCTTTCCAGAATCCAAACTAAAGTCTACATCTCCACCTTTGTGCTTCAGTACAAGTTTAACCCTCCGACCTACGTCCCTGCTGCTGTACCGCCCTGTTGAAGTCCCAGGCGCAGGCCAGTCTTGATCCAACACGGCAATATTCTTTTATTGCAGTACTGCTTGCGTGATATTGGGGGCACTAGCCACAATCATCATCCGCTACTCCATTAAGACGTTGGCAATAAGTACTTCCCAGAGTTTCACCACTACTAACCTCTGGCGACTAGCGTAAGGAGGAGCGAGGCGGCCAAACCAGGAATTGCCCATGGTTTGACCCAGCCATCTGGGATGGCTTCGAGATGGACTGATAAGAAGCAATTTCACCACTAGCAATTCTTTTTTGACTTAAATAAAGGTGGACCGCTTTATTAAAAGACTGGAGAACGGGTTCAGCTTCAGTGTCCCTTACGTCAGAAACATACTCAACAACCTTTGTTACGGTCGAAGGACCCTAAGAAAGCAGAATTGATTACTTCCTGTATCAGGAAGGATCTAGTACCACTCAACACTGCTTTCCTTGCCCTTGCCTAGCCCCTGCGTCGGAAAAAGCAACCAGCCCTACACTTCCCCGCTGGATCCAGGACAACATCTGTCCACAGTGCTTTCCTGTCTGGGAAGCCCCTCTCCGTCGATGTTGTGTACTGTCAGGGGGGAAACAAAAGAAAGAAACCCACTTAAAGGTAGAACGCCTCAGGCTTGCTCTCTGATCCACAAAGAGTTCTAAAAACAAAAGCAGGCAGAGCTGGCCATACCTATTGGAGTCCGCTGAGTAATAACCGGCAACCCGGGCAAAGTCCAAGAACAATTACCATTACAGCCTGCAAGGCGCAATGGCACAAACTTATGGGCTGTCGGGTGGGCATGGCACAGCCCAAAAATTAATGGCAATGCAGTTCAGAAGGCCTGGAAGAATTTCAGGCCGCCAACCCCATGGAATGCAACGCATGCAGCACAACACAATGGCCCTCGATTTGGATCACACACACACACACACACACACACACACACAGAGAGAGAGAGAGAGAGAGAGAGAGAGAGAGAGAGAGAGAGAGAGAGAGAGATGCCCCCTCTGCCCCAGCCAAAAGGTGTGGTGGGCCTTTAGTTGTTTACCTAGAAGCGCACTAAGGTTTGATTGCCAGGATGATTATTAAAGCCTTCAGACAATTGCTTCACATGTTGGTTCGCACATGTAGAGCAAAACAGGATCTGTACAAACACCTGTGACTTTTTTTTTTTTTTTTTTTCCCCTTTTCTTTTTCGCTTGCACAGGGGCCATGCTAATCTTCTCTGTATTGTTCCAATTTCAGGAAGGCTTGACATACGATAAGACATATTCCACCAAAAGAGAGAGAGTCATATGCACGGACAGAATCAGGCAAGAAAGACAACTGCAGCTCGAGGAGAGGAGCTGGACCGAAGATTCTAGCTCTTGGAGACAAAGAAATGGCTTAGGTGGATGTCCACCCTCCTTGAATCACAACCCTGCAGTAGTTTTAGCATGACCGCTTGGGATCGGTATATATCAGAAATATCTCATGGGAGGCTTATTCCAAGAGACACAGCACTGTGACAGCCGAGGGTACAAGTTGGTGCAGGTACACTGCCACAACCAAGGACACAGCCTGGTCTCTGCTCTACCTCCAGGGTCTCTGTGAGGGGTTATGGCTTTAGAACATTTTCTTTTTTTGATCTTTGAGAACGTTTTTGTGAGGTGCCCAGTGGTCCGGACCTTCTGGGAATGGTGGGCGCAGGAAATGGTGGACAAAACCCCCTTGGGGGTCACAGATACGGATTATGCAATTATCCTTCTGGGGCCCCTGATGAGGGTGGACAGATCATAGCCGGAGGACGGTTCGGCTTTAGAAATCATTAGGGCAGCAGTGCTGTGGGCGCTGCGGACTTCGAGGAATGAGCGATGTAGGCAGCAAACTACACCACCACCGGGGGCATACCAAGAAAGGGCAATGGAGAATATTAGAATCGCCCTCTTCGCAGATTTTTGGCAGCGCTGCAAGCATAAAGGAGGGCAGGAGGGAGGCTTTTGGGCACGATGGGAACCTCACTTATCTGACACCCTCAGACGAACAAGATGCAGCTGGGCGCTGGCCTGATGCGCCATGTACCACAGACTGATGCAGAGGGAGATGGGAGGGAGAACAAAGAGTTGAGAATGGTAGATGTAGAAGAGTGGGGTAGGTGTACAGGGTGCAAGGTTAGAAGGGGGGGGGGGGGCGGAGAATAGAGTTAGGTTACAGAGGGGTTTAATTTGAAAACATAAAAAAGGATGAAGCCGGAGGATGTGGGGGTGGAAGAAGAATAGGAAAATGCTGGCGCTATCAATAATAGAATGGATGTACATAACAACAGTGTATATAGAATCATGAAAGACCATCATGAAAGACTATGTAGCATATACAGAAAATTCAGGGATCGGAGCGCGGGAAAAGATCAGATAGATATAGAAACGCGTCAGGGGAGATAGACAAATGTGTTAGGACCTGCCAAACACGGACTGAGACACAACTGATTTCTGAGTTTTGCCAATGGAATGTATGCCTTGCTGAGTTTCCCGCTTGTTGCTGAGTTTTCTAAGTCTGAGTGTGTGCGTGCTTGCTGGTCTGCATGCCTATCTGAGTGCTTGGCGGAGTGTGTGTGTGACCCGTGAGGGTACGTGCCCATGTGGAAGGCCCAAAGGGCCGGTACTTACCTGTGGCTGTGGCATTGAGGGTTGCAGCGGTCGGGGAAAGAGGCCTGCGACACTTGAAGCAGCGGAAAAACAATAAAGTAGCCGGGTACTCGAGGCCGAGCAGAAGAAGACAAAGTTGGCATTTTAGAGGCCCAGTAGTTGTAGGCTAGGTCTAGCCAGGTACCAGTCCAACCAGTCTGAGTCTCGGGCCTGTACGGGCAATATCAGAGTCTGCAATGATGTTTCCCTCCCAATGGGAGGAGGTACCGGTTGCTTGGAGGCCGCATGGCCTAGGAAGTCACTCACCAAGAGGCAAGCAGGCCGCTATACTCCACCGCGGCTATGGCGGAGGAGCACGGGCTCGAGGAGGAGGAAGGTGAGGACTAGGAAGAGGGAGAGCGCCAGAGGTACTCACCTGGCTATGGCGGATGCCATCTTCTCACCTTGGTGGGCGCTGAAACTGGAAGGCCCCAGTTGGGGTTGCGCTACACCAAGAAGCTTCGAGGCAGAGTCAGGTATGGCGGTCTGAGCTAGAGCACCAATAGCTGCTTTGTGTTGTCCTTTGCACAGCAGGGCAATGCCCTGGTAATCCGCCATAGCCTCGCCCTTGGAGGAAGGAGGAAGAAGGGTGGCCATGGCTATGTGGACCTCGTGTGATACCTGCAGTAGAGAGGAATTCGGGCATTGATTCCGGTTCAGCCATTGAACATTATTATTACAAGGGTACCTGTTGCAGCTTCGCCCGCAAGAAAATGAAGGGAAAACCCGGAAAAGGGTGCAAATTGCAAATGAGGGTGGGTAGGGGTGTCTTGGTCGGGTGTGGGTTTGGGTGGGGTCGGGGTGGTTTTTAGGCTCACCTGTGCATTGTTGTTGACACTGCCGATGGAATGCTGATGCTGCTTTGTAAGCCTTGGATATATGTATTTTTTCGTTTTTTTTTGCTTTTTTGTCCTGTCAAACACCTGATCACAGTTTGCAATCCTTTCAGTAGTGGTTTGCTGGGTTGGTGGTTGTTCGGATTTGAACTCACCTATTGTGTGTGTGTCACACTTTGCATACCTGTCTCCCGCTAACCAAAAATATTCTTTCTCAGATGTCGGGAGATATGCAATTCTGCGATCCTGGGGGGGGGGCAGGCGGGCGCACGTAGTTAGTTCGATTGGGCTCTCTCTCTCTCTCTCTCTTTCTCTCTCTCTCTCTCTCTCCCGCATCTTGCGCGCACGCGTTTAAACCATCTCGATGGACCTCTCTCCCCCCTTCTCTCGCCTGCTCGCTAGAGCGCGCGCGTGCTTTTTTTTTTCCTTTCCTAACATAAAAACGTCTCGATGGACAACGGATCACATATGAAACTGAACAGAGCAGATACTACACTTGATCATGGGGGGGGGAGGGGGCACGTGTAGCTGGTTAGACTGGGGTCTCTCTGGCCCCCTCTCTCTAGTCTTTCCCGCGCATCTAGCCTGGATGCTTTATTTTTCTTTTCTGTAAACCGTCTCCATGGACCACGGATCAGATACTACACTTGACCCTGAGGGTGGTGGTGGTTGGCACATAGTTAGTTAGATTGGGGGCTCTCTCTCTCTCCCTCTCTCTCACTCTCTAATCTCTCTCCCACGTCTTGCGCGCAGTTGTTTCTTTTTTTTTTTTAACAGTCTCGTGAACCACGGATCTGATCGAAGCGGATACTGCACTTGATCGTGTGGGCGTAGTTGGTTAATTTGGGTTCTCTCTCTCTCTCTCTCTCTCTCTCTTTCTCTCTCGCACGCGCGCGCGCGTAAACCATCTCGATGGACCTCTCTCTCTCTCTCGCTCGCTTGCGCGCACGCATAC